AAAGGAGGTCTCTCTTTCCCGGGGGAAAAGTGAGGGGGTCATCTCCTTTCTACCACTTTTTGCAGGGCACATGGGTGTAGGTGATTGTAGGCTGAACAATCACCTACACCCATGTGCCCTGCAAAAAGTACTATTATTTCCTTGCTGGGCTCAAGAACACCCTTTGGCTTCTGGGAAGTCCACTCTCCGCTCGCCCAGAACTCCAACTTAGCCTCTCTGGACGCTATCCACGCTGTCCCAAAATTTGCCTGGCCAGTGGTCACCCTGCCTACTTGAGCATCTGTTCTCTTCATCCGCCATTCCTTTCTCAGGTGTAGCCCTGAGTGCCTGGACAGCGGCCTACCAAGCCCTGGCAGGTCTCAGAGTTTGCCTCTCCCAACTGCGGAGCCTAGGACGCTGGGAAATTGGCTGTGCCCCTGAGGAGTGGGGGCAAGATGCGGTCGTGTTTTTAGCCACAGTGCGGTCTTCATTGGATTTCGGAGAAGCCAGTCTTGGATTTCCTCGTCCCCGCGCCCTGGGCAAACTCAGGATTTCCATGGGAAGCTCAGATTGGGGTGGGCAGCCGGCTCCCCTCCTCTGCTCGCTCCCCTCGGGCGGGCGGGGTGTCTGGCGCCGAGCGCGCGGAGGAGGCCCTGGAGGGGGCGGGCCAGCCGGCGGGGCTGCCCTCTCCGCAGTGACGTCCCAGAGGGCGGAGGGGCGACGGACTGGCTCCGCGCCCTCCCCGCCTCCTCCGGGCGCCGGGTCTGTCGGTCCTCTGGAGATGCTGCTGCCGCCCGCCGTTGAAGTTGCGGAGCACGCCGCTGCCGGTCTTCCCGCTCCACCGCCTTAGCGCCCCGGCGTCCGAAGGCGCACCCGAGCCGGGCCATGCAGCCGGGAGCGGCGCTGCAGGCCGTGCTGCTGGCAGTGCTGCTGGCGGGGCTCCGGGGCGCGACGGGTCGCCTGCTAAGCGGTGAGTGCGCGCGCGCTGGGGCGGGAGCTGGTTCCCGGGAGCTGGGCTGCGGCACCCACTGCACCCCACCTAAGGCTGACCGTCCTCAGGGCCACGGTGCCTCTTCTCTGGCTCCGCGGAGTGAGTGGAGGGGTGGCGCCCCCGCCCCACCAGTGGACTTAGCCCTGCGTCGCCCCCTACTTCTAGAGGGGCAATCGCCCGGCTGCTGAGCCTAGCGCCGGTTCCCTGCGTGTCCTGGACCGCGCGAAGTCCGTTCCCCGCCCAGGGCTGCCATAATACCGAGAGACGTAGGCTAGATGGGGCAGTGAGCAAACTGCCCCAGTAGGCGCCCCCTCGGTCCGCTCCACTGAGAGCGGCGCAGTAGTCCCCGGGACCCCCACGCAGGGCTTGTCCTGCCCACCAGGGAGGTCTCCTGTCCCGGGAGACGGTGCGTACAGTAGGGATTCTGGATCGGCTGTGCCGTGGGAACCCCAGCCCGTTACTCCTGGTCTCTTCTCGGGGGAGAGGATGGCAGGATCCAGCGCCTGGAATAAGAGCGCTTAGAGATCGGGAAAGAAGCCTAGTTAGCGCGGGGCAAGCCCCGCCTGACTCCGGGGAATGACTCTCTCTGCTTCCTTCCTCCTGTCGTGTCACTGCAGCCTCGGACTTGGACCTCAGAGGAGGTACAGTGCTCTGGCTCCTTGCCTCTTCCATTTGTTCTGCATGTCGAGGCGGGGCGGGGTTGGGGTGGGGGGCGGAGGGAATGTCCGTTCCCCTTTCTCAGGTTTCCTTCGCAGGCAACAGATTGGCCAAGAGGGATGGAGGAGAATGAAAACCTCCCCTCCGTTATCGGTGCTTCCGAAGCTGATTGAAGGAATCTAAAGTTGGTTTCAGGATGGGGTGGGGTGCAGGGTGGCAAAATGGGAGGGTAACCGAATTCAGCTGTTTGGGTGACGGCTGCACGGGCTCTGTCCTCGGTGGCCGCCCTTCCCCTTCCTGCAAATGAGAGGAGATAAACACTTCCTGAAGGCAGGGGGACCAGATGCACCCTGGGCCTTCTTCCAGCTCTGGCTCCCTCTGGCACTCACTGGCTGACTTGGGATGTGTGGCCAGGCTGGGCCATACAGGAAACTCGTTTAAGGTCTTATGTTTTCCCTTGATAATCCAACGATGGAAAAGTGGGGACTGCCAGTAAATTCAACTCCACCTTGGGGGTGCCTGGGGCTCATTTGTTTTTCCTCTGCTGCCTCATTTGGAGCCACTTTTAAGGACTCATAAAGCTGAGCTGACCCAGCCTTCTCCCCAGGGAGCATCCCAGCCACAGCCTCTCTGGCCAGTGGTCCCTAGTCTCTCTGGAACACCTCCTTAGCGAGAATGTCCCACTTTTGAGGCCTTCTAATTTGCTGATGGAGCAGTCCTGTTAGAGTTTCTCTATTCAACAAAAGGAGAAAAGTGACAGAGAAAGGGAGAAGATGCAAAACTTTTGCAACTTGTTTATTGAAAATTTTTTACAAAGGCGATGAAAGAAGAAACTGAAAATAAGAATTCACAGGAGCTTTCCATATTATCTGTATGTGCTCTGTTCCCATTTAAGCACTGAAAATGCAGTTAACTGCCTGTGGCCTTTTGCTCTGTATTCTGGACAATTTGGAGAATAACTAATGCTATCTGGCTCTGTGCACAGTTGCAAAACAAATTAGGAAAATGAGAACATTCTATGAGAGCTGGGAAGAGGTTCCCAGACCAAAATCCTTTATTCCTCGCTCTGTGGCAGTAATTCACACCCACAGCCCACAAACTGGCTCTGCATTGCAAGGGATTCCCCTTGTTGAAATCTGGTTTTCACTGTACATCTGGATCCAGAAACACGCTGTGTGTTCCTGCGAGTTAGGAAGCGGCAAGTGTTTCTGTATTCCCGGCACCTAGCACAGTGCCAGGCATGAGCATACATGCGATACATACCGACTTAACGAAGGAGCGATGAGGCTAATGTTTTGGGTGCAGCTCGGCTTTAGGCACCCAGACACAAGCCAGGGTGGTGTGTACTGGTGAACGATTTTTTATCAGTAGAATCCCATCCATTTGTCCTCGATAGTCTTCAGCCCTTCAGGTGTCAGTCATATGAGACATATTACATGGGCTCCCAGTGCAACCTGAGCCTGTGGTGGCGTGGGGAGCAGAGTTCAGTGGTTGTGACTGTGACTTTGTAATTAGATCTGGGTTCTGACTCAAGTCATGCTACTGATAGCATATGTGGCCTTAGCCAGACTAATTTCTGTGAGCCTCAGTTTTCTCATCTGTAAAATGGACATAAACAATATCTACAACAGTGGATTACTATGAGTGTTCAATGAGATAAGGTATGTATGTAAATGCAAAAGCCCTTAGCATAGTACATGACACATAGTAAGAGTTCACTGAACCTTAGCTGTTGACTTTAGGCAAGACCAGTAGCAGAAAACCCCATGGATCTGATGCTTTTATCTTCTGCTTATACCATAGACTGGGTGAATATTCAGTCCTGCTATTGATACATACGCAGAGGATTCCAGGGTAGAGGAACCCACGCCTGACTTCAGAATGCCTCTCTTACCTGAAGGAACCCCCAAACAGAGATAACTCACTTTAAGCCACACTTAGTCTCCTGCGACTCCCTAATGGCATGAAAGTGTTATTTGTTTGCCTTTAAATGAAACCATAAATCTTCATCTACCCCTCTTTTAAAGGTTAATTTTAAATGTCTGCTTTTCAATAATCTGTAATGGAACAAAGAAAACATGGAGTCTAAATCACTGTGTCTCCACACTGGAAGGAGTATTAATTTGCTCTGAGAGCTTAATGACACTAAAACAAACCACTGATGAGTAATCAGAATTCCCGCAGCTTCATTCAGATGCCTCCAAGCATCCCTGCTGTGGTATATGTTGGGGGCACTAAAATAGGTAGTCTTCTTTTTTTCTCTAGGTCAGCCAGTCTGCCGGGGAGGAACACAGAAGCCTTGTTATGAAGTCATCTACTTTCATGATGCTTCTCGAAGACTGAACTTTGAGGAAGCCAGAGCAGCCTGCAGGAGAGATGGGGGCCAGCTAGTCAGCATCGAGTCTGAAGATGAACAGAGACTGATAGAAAAATTCATTGAAAACCTCCTGGCTTCTGATGGTGATTTCTGGATTGGGCTTAGGAGGCGTGAAGAGAAACAAAGCAATGGCATAGCCTGCCAGGACTTTTATGCCTGGATCGATGGCAGCACAGCAACATTTAGGTAAGTGTGTGGAACTCACAGCAGCTAACTCACTTGATGTAGCTGCAAAAAGAGGCAGGCTGGATCCACGGTGCCAGTCAGTGTGGAAGAGAAGTCCCAGCCAGGCAGAGCCCTGAGGGGATAGCCGTGCTGGCAGAGCCACTGACCAAAGCAGTGGGGTGAAGGTGGTAAATCAGCCTTAACCTAGGCCCAGAGAGCTCTGTCCAGGAGGGTGGCCCAGAACCACAGCTTCAGTGGCACACAATGCTTGAAGTCAGTCGTTCTGGCTACCTGGCCTTTTGGACTAGAACCCCAGTGAGAGATTTTTTTTTTTTAATTTTTATTGGAGTATAGTTGATTTACTATGTTGTGTTACTTTCAGGTGTGCAGCAAAGTGAATCAGTTATACATACACATATATCCACTCTTTTTTAGATTATTTTCCCATATAGGCCATTACAGAGTATTGAGTAGAGTTCCCTGTGCTATACAGTAGGTCTTTATCAGTTATTTATTTTATATATACTAGTGTGTATATGTCAATCCCAATCTCCCAGTTTATCCCTCCCCCCGCCCCCTTACACCCTGGTAACCATACGTTTGTTTTCTACATCTGTGACTCTATTTCTGTTTTGTAAATAAGTTCATTTATACCCTTTTTTTAGATTCCACATATAAGTGATATCATATGATATTTGTCTTTCTCTGTCTGACTTACTTCAGTCAGTATGACAATCTCTAGGTCCATCCATGTTGTTTCAAATGGCATTATTTTGTTCTTTTTTATGGATGAGTAATATGCCATTGTATATATGTACCACATCTTTTATCCCTTACTCTGTTGATGGACATTTAGGTTGCTGCCATGTCTTGGCTATTGTAAATAGTACTGCAGTGAACATTGAGGTGCATGTGTCTTTTCGAATTATGGTTTTCTCTGGATGTATGCCCAGGAGTGGGATTGCTGACCCAGTGAGAGATTGAAGGCCTGTGGGGCTGAAGGGCTCCAGACTGCAGGAAATTATGATGATGGGCAAGAAATTAGTGCCAAGATATAATTCTCTGGATTGACCAAGAGGGGACTTAAGGAAGCCTGCAGTTTGTAGGGCCCTTCTAAACCCACAACACTGGACTCACTTCACACACCTGCCCCCCAGCACCATGGCATTGCCATCGTCCCTCCCTAAGAAAAGCAGTGACGTGGAAGAACGTCAAAAAATATCAAAATTAAAAGGCAGGCATAAGACTGGAAAAGTGTTGTAAGAAATTTAACAGTTATGATATTTTTACAATAAAGAGTTAATATAAGTCAAAAAGCTCTAAAAGTTTATATAAGTCAGTAAAACCCAAAAGGATAAAGGGGCAAAAGACCTGAGCAAACAGTTCACAAAATAGAAAATCTAACTGGTAAACAGTCATATGGGGAAAACATTTAAACTCATTTTCAATCAAAAGAATGACGATTAGAATATATCTTTATTACCTATTCCATTCAAGACAGCATGAAGTTCACCCATTATGCTGTTCAGATCCACACCTTCATCTGAGTTCCGGGAGTCGTTCCTCCAAGATTCTCGTGGGCCTCTCTCCTGGGAGAAACTTAAGAGAGGAAGCTTAGGAGGAACTACACTCCCCACCACTGCAGCTGGTCCCAGCGCCACGACTGATATTTTTTGACCTCCCTCCTCCTCTGTGCAGTCTAGATTCCCCTCACCCTCTGTTCGGGGAGCCTCAATGCCTCTCTTACCTTGTGGCAGGACCCAGACCCTCATCCCTGAAGAGTGTGAGGCCTAGTCAACTTGCATTGCTTACGCTGGAGTGATTTCACTTTTCTATTTACCATCAAAATTGGGCACATTTTTGTGTACCAACACAACTTGAGTACCAAGAGGTACCCAAGTAGATAACCTGGCTGTCAAGCATATCTTTCCCTGCCTGTAACAGCCTAGATACCTTCACCTCATGATTAGGGTCCTGCAAAGAGAATGACTCCTCTTCTTGCCTGCTGGTTCCTGGACACAAGAATCCCCAGATGTCCAAGTGGCAGCCATTGTTCATAGTTCAATAACACTCTTGCTGTATCTTCTGGTGGAAGGATTCCCCCAGAATATACCAGGACCTCTAAACCCACAGAGCTCAGCATTGCAGAGACAAGAAACACAAATTCCCCAAGTAAGTACTACCAGTGAAGGTAAGCAGAGCTACTCCTCCTTTCATAAGCTATAGCTTTACAAAATGTATTTCTTAAAGAATAAGACCTGAAAGTCAAAATTACTTCTTTATCCATGGGCTGCAGAATGGATGTTGTGGTACCAGGCATGAAAATGACACTGATCTCCTTGTACATCTCCATCAGAGCTCTTGGGTGACAAGGTGCATTGTCAAGGAGCAGTAATATTTGGAAAGGAATCTTTTCTTCTGACAGTAAGTCTCAACAGTGGGCTCAAAATGTTCAGTAAATCATATTGTAAACAGTTGTGCAGCCATCCAGGCTTTGTTGTTCCATTTATAGAGCAAAGGCAGAGTAGATTTAGCATAATTCTTAAGGGTCCTAGGATTTTTGGAATGATCAATGAGAACTGGCTTCAACTTAAAGTCACCAGCTGCATTAGTTTCTAACACAAGAGTCATTCCGCTCTTTGAAGCTTTGAAGCCAAGCATTGACTTCTCCTCTCTAGCTACGAAAGTCCTAGATGGTATCTTCCATTATAAGGCTGTTTTGTCTACACTGAAAATCTGCTGTTTAGTTTAGCCACCTTCATGAATTATCTTAGCTAGGTCTCCTGGATAACTTGCTTCAGCTTCTACATCAGCACTTACTGCTTCACCTCGCATTTTTCTGTTATAGAGAGGCCTTTTTTCCTTAACCTCATGAACCACCCTCTGTTAGCTTCAAACTTTTCTTCTACATCCCTTGGCTCCCAGACCCCAGAGTACTCTTGGATGACACAGGATGATACAAAGGTCAATGATTCAAAATGTGCACTGCGTCTTGGAGGATGATGCCTCATCCTCACAAAGTATTGCCTCTAAGCTAGTGTTTCAGCTGTGTTTTCAACAAGTTCATCCATCACTCTGTCAAACTGGCAGCTTCAGGATGGGTGAATATGTGATGTGACTAGTAAATCCCCTGCCTACTCCCACATCTCCTTTGCAATAAACTAGGTTTTTTGGTCTGATGAGATCTTATTTGGAATTCTGTGCTGGTAGATCAAAGACTGTGTAAGCATTTGGATAGTGGTGCTAAGGCCTTGAGGCTAGAAAGGCAAACCCATACCCAGATTGTATGTCTGTTCCTATCAACATGAATCATTGCCCCTTTCAGGATGGAAGGAGTCCAGTGTAGTCAACTTGCTACCAGATTCTAGGCTGGTCTCTGTTCCCAGCAGACTGGATGTTGGGCAGTAGCTAAATCAGCCTTGGTGAGTGGGAACGGCTACTGTTGAGCCCATGCATGGCCTCCATCCCTGCCACCATGGCTACCCTAGTATGTATCTATTATACCAGAGCTGGCGCAGCTGATAACAGGCTGGCTGACATCGACTGGCTAAGTCATTTTGTCTCCCTGATTGTGTAGTGCCTCTTCCATGCTAGAGGCTTTTTGGTGGGCTTTAACATATGATAGATTTTCATACTTTACACCTACTCCCATATGTCTATTCACATCACTCTATCCAAGAGCTCCTTGTCCCCAGTCTTCCACTCTTTATCCTTTTAGACTCCTAATCCACTGGCTAAGCTCTTTGCCTTTACCCCTGAGTTTTTATATAGTCTAATCTCTAATAACTTCTCTTTCTATACTAAGTGGTTAACTAGGTATATCAGCTAAGCTCTGGCCATTGGGAGGATGTTTCCTTACCACTTGATCTTTCAGAACCACCTCTGAGTGGGACTGTAGTACAGCTGCTGCCCATTTGGAGTTTTACCCCCATGCTTGGCTGACCTATCCATGAACCAAGCTTAGGCTGCCTTTATCAGCTATTCGTAAGGGATTCCTTTATGCAGCTATAGGTGCAAGCTGAGGGACAGGCTCTGGTACAACAGTGGTAGATGTCATGGAAGTCTGCTCTACCTGTTCATACAGTGCCATCTAGTCCTAACTATACCTCTTCCATCTTGTAATGGGTTGATTCCAGGCCTGCCTAATCTTTTGACTAGGTATGTCTGACAGTGTCTCTCTTACATTGAGCAAGTTGGATTGCATGTTCTCTTGGTGCTCCTTGCCTAGTATCAAGCCAGGAGTTGCTTTGCAGAAGGTGATTTTTTTCTCATCTGTAGAAGATATGGCCTTGCTGTAGAATCTTAAGGGTTTGCACTGTGATCCTCTCATTGGAGCTTGTACAGATTCTATATGGCATTATTTTTCTCACCACTGATACCTCTAATAATAGGGTCTGATGGATCATATGGCCCAAGTGGGAAGTCTGCTTCCGTCACAGCCTGGTCCTGCTTCAGAGTCCTTTTCTGCTCTGGACCCCACTCAGAGACACCTGTCTTTCATGTCAACTGGTATATAGGCCAGAGCAGTATTCCCAGGTGTGAAGTATGCCACCTCTAGAACCCAAAGAGACCTACCCCATGCTATGCTTCCTTCTTAAAATTATTGCAAGATGCTTCAAATTATTGTGAGATGAAATAATTTGACCTTTAATTTGAAAGGGGTGTTCTGGCATTCTCTAGATCACTAAACACCTACACAGCTTCATGAAGTAGCAGGCCCCTGAATCTTCATAGCGTTTACCTCCAACCCTTGGAGCACTTGAGTCTTACTAAGGCCTCCAGTCCTTGCTCATCCGTCTCAGTTAGCGTGATGTCAGCAATATGGTGGACCAGTGTGATTTTTTGCAAGATATCCAGGCAGTCTCTTTTCACATCATATTATGACAGAGGGTAGGAAAATTAGTACAGTCCTGAGGAAAGACCATAAATGTATACTGATGTCCATTCCAAATAAATGCAGACTGTTTTCTGATTCTCTTTCTGATACAGGTGAAAAAGAATGTACTCACCAAATCTGCATATTAGGTACCCAAGGACGTGTTAAGCAGCTCTAGCAAAGATACCACAAATGGCATAGTAGGTGCAATTGAGACTTCTAGTTGGTTGAATCTGTGCTACTCCAGTGTCATCCTTCAGGATCTGCCTGGTTTTTGCAGGAGGCAGACTAGTGAATTATATAGAGATATGACAGGGAATACCATCCTTGCATTCTCTAGGTCTTTAGGGGTGGCACTACTTTCTGTCATCTTCGCCTGGATAAGATATTGTTTTCTGTTTACTATCTTGGAGAGAATAGGGAAGAATGCAGTTTCAGAGGCTTCCACTTGACCTTCTCCACTATTATAGCTCTTACCCCATAAGTTTTCAATTCATATATTTTAGGACTGGGGAATGGCCACTGGATGGGTCCACTGTGAGCTGGTCCTGATCTCAGAGAGAAAGCAGTGAGTGGTCCTGAAGAGAGATCTTAGTTGTCTGCCCAGGAATTGAACCTGGGTAGCCTGGATGAAAACCAGGAATCCTAGCCACTAGTCCACCAGGGGCTAGAGGCTAGAAGCAAAGTTCCCCTAGCTGTTACCCCCACTGGAAAATGCGTTTCTCAAGGAGGCAAAAACTATAAAAGCAGGTACAAAGTTTATTATTAGAGACACAGCATAACATGTGGGAGAGCACACGGAGAAGCAGTTTGTTTATTTAAGACAGAAGCAAGGCAGAAATACACACTCGGAGAGAAAGGGTTCAGGCGTCCTCTCTAATGAGGAGCGCGGTAAAGAGGTGATTTGAATCCCTTATATAGGATAGTCCTTCTGGGTCTTTGTTTACCTTTGGCCAATTCTCTTCTTCTTTCACACCTGACCAGTCCTAGGACCCTCCCTAATATGCATGTGCAACTTTTTGCTAAGATGGATTCCACCACAGAGGCCTGTGGGGATATGTCCACACTTACTATGGGGTGGCGCCCCCTCCCTTTTTGACCGTCAAGGAGCCTTTCTGTGCATGTGCAGACAAAGAAGTTTTCCTTGACCTCAGGAGTGGTCATCTTATCTCTTTATTCCTGCAGAGCTCAGCTTCTGCCACTAGCTTTGTCCTTGGAGTGTCTGGGTGAGAACAAAGCTTCAATTTTATTCCACTTGACAACCACCAGCTGTCCGGCCCAGGGGCCCATCTATCTCCTACTTCAGTCCTGGGCCAGAACTCCATTTAATACTTAGCCTCAATATGCTCCCACTCAAAAGGGTAGTTTTAATGACACTTCAAGTCTTTGGGTATCAGTGTTAACTTGTACTCTGTGTCCAGCAGTCTTTGTAATATTCGCGTATTCCTCTTTCCCCAGTGTATGGTTACTTGAGTAAAGGGCCATAAGTCCCTTTGGGAGAATAGAGGAAATTGCCACGTGCACCTACTGTGGTGTTGCAGGGTCCTTCCTCCCTCTAGCAGTGAGTTCCAAGCCTGAAACCTGGCTCAAGTCCAGTAACTAGATGCCAGGCATAATATTCCAACCATACCATCACCTGTGAAATAAAATAACATAAAGCCATAGGGCCAGTGGAGAGGAGAACAGACAAGCAGGAGGTCTGCCAACAGGGTTGGAAAATTGCCTGGAGGTGACTAATGAGGTGCAGAGCCCAGCCCCAGTCAGGATCCCCAGCTCTCCAGACAGTGTCCAAGCAGACTTGCAAGCTCAGCTACCATCCAGGCGAATTCAACCCAGTGGATTCAGCAGAGGATTTTCCTTTCGGTGAACTGCAGCACAAGACTCAAGCAGAGCCATGTGAGGGTGCTACACAGAGAGCTGTCTCTTAGCTCTGACAAGAGCTAGGCAGAGCAGCAGGGCTCATCTAAATAGCCTGAGCATCAGGGCAGATCTGGGCCCCGGAAGGAAACTGCTTAGGTGAGTAACCAGGCGAACTACAAAGCCCAGCCCTGAGTCAGCACATGAGGTGGCTGCTCGCAGCAGTTGGAATCTAAGGCTTTAATCTGGCACCCACATATCCAACTGGGTGGCAGCATCATTTAATTTCAAGTACCATTGGGGCTGCTAGTGCACCCTGTCCAGGAGCTAGGGAGGCAAAGACAAGAAATCAGGCAGCAGAGGCTGACAGAAGGGCTCGTCGGCCTGATGAAGTAGAAACAACTTAAAACCCGAAGAAGACTACTTGGGCCTCCCGCTTTTGCCCCCACCCCGTCTCTTGCTTTGAAGCCTCTACATGCTGGAAAGTCTTGCTCAGATGCTTGAATTTTCTATCCGCTCCTCAGAGCTAGGAAGGCAGCTATGGCTGTTGAAAAGCATGGGGAGATGGAAGCAAGGCAAGCTCTGGATGAGATAAGCCATGCCTCTCTCAATGCATCTGATTTCTAAAAAAAAAAGAGAAACAAAACCCAGTTAGCCAAAAGCAAAAAAGAAAGAAGATCATCCAGACTTGCCCTGCTGGCTGCTTCTTCTCATAATTCCTTTGCAGACATTATATGGTAATATATCCCTCCCTGCAAAGGCAAATGTCAGATGATTGATTGTGATGTCCGTATTAGAAAGCGTGGTTCTACTTACTGGAAGCACTTCAGTTCCTCCCTGTCTCTTAAGTTCCTGGCTCAGTGGACCTTGATAGGAAAACAAAGCCTTTGAAGTCTTGTGGTATCCTTCTCCAGTTGCCTCCACTGTTGACCCCTTTCCTACAGGAACTGGTATGTGGATGAGCCTTCGTGCGGCAGCGAGGTCTGCGTGGTCATGTACCATCAGCCATCAGCACCCGCCGGAATCGGGGGCCCCTACATGTTCCAGTGGAACGACGACCGATGCACCATGAAGAACAATTTCATCTGCAAATATTCCGCTGGTAATGAATCCTCTCCCAAGTTATATGGCTGAATTCTCAACCTCCTCTCTCATTTCATAAGCAGCTGCTGGTTCCAAGAATTTGTCACGTGGTCTCTGCGAAAGCTTGTTGCAAATGCCAGCAGTGTTAAACATTGGGAGTTCTTGTGAAGGGAGATGTAGTGACACTTCCTCACTGAGGAGTAATTCTAGCACGAGAGAGGGGTATTAGATGCTAAGAGAAAGGATGAAGAAATGAAAGGGTCTAATTTATGTATGATAAGGCAAGAATTATGAGAACTTCAAGAAACAAAAAGCCCTCCAAGTGGACAATTATAATTCTTATTCTTTCCAGATATGAGGTTGTATGCTGTAAGAGCTTGGAATACAGTAAGTCCCTACATACGAACCTTCAAGTTGTGAACTTTCAAAGATGCGAACCTACGTTTGCATGTCCAGTCCCGTAAGTTAGTTCACGTGTCTGGCGTACATTGTCACATGCGTGCATCCTCTACAAGTGGTTGTGCTTTTGTGTACTTTACTGTACAGTACTGTATAGAGTACAGTAGTACAGTATCTTTATTTCAAGCCCAGGATGTCCTGAAGCAAGTGTAAAAGCAGTAGCGATGCAGCTGGTACTGTACTATACTGTAAGATTTAAAATGTACTGTACTGTAAGATTTAAAATGTTTTCTTTATGTTTTCTGTTTGTTTTTTATGTATCATTTGTCCGAAAAGTATTATAAGCCTATTACAGTACAGTACTATATAGCCGATTGTGTTAGTTGGGCACCTAGGCTAACGTCGTTGGACTTACAAATGTGCTCTCCGAACGGAACTCGTTCGTATGTAGTGGACTTACTGTAAAGAAGAAATATGAAAGGAAGCTGGCCATTGTTCCTGCAAGTCTTCTACCAGCCACGTGACATTATTTTCTGGGGCTTTAAGGAAACAGAATAATGACCAGAGGAGGTAGATGATAAAATACACCAATTTTACTGACACTGGGCAGATAGAAGTCACTTTGATGAGCAGGGCATCATCCTGCTCCGTAGGGCACCGTCTAAATACATGCCTTGCAAATTTAATTGGCATTTGCTTCTAAATCTGTGAAGGGTTTTGAATTGGCTACAAGCCTGTAGTCTCACTGTGCTGAGGTTTCCCAAACTCCTCCATTATGTTGGATTTCGATCTAAACGTGAAGTGATTTTTGATCTGCTATGGAAGTTTCTCACCTCCCTGAAGCCAACTGCTTGACCCCAATTCTGCATCCTTTCCTGACAGAAGTAGAATGACTTGTTAGTTACATCTATTGAGGGACTAAACAATCCTGTCATTTTTAAATTGTCTGAATTTGACTGTGCTTTTGCTGCTAAAGTTGTTTTTCCTCCCTCTTCACCCCTTCGGATGAATTCTCTCCAAAGACCTGGCCTTCCCCACCATACAGAGTTGTCTCAGGCAGGGAGGTTGCAAGGACTTAGGCTGGCTTAGCAGGGCACATTTTTAGAGCAATTAAAGCAAGGCACTTGTTACAAACTGGCTGCCCATCACTTTTGTTCCTCACATCCTATTATCTCCATGATTTAAAATGTTGTACTTCTTAAATATTTTCTGAAATGTGAGATTTTGACATTTGTTTTCATAGCCTTTTATTTTTGGACTTTGAACCTAGTTAGGTTTTGTTTTTAATCATAATCTTTATTAATTTTGCTACTGCCTGATTTAGACTGAGTCCCGGCAGGAAAAAGGTGGCACACTCAAAGGGTTTAATGAGAAGAGTATAATAAAATGATATTTGCCAAGGTGTGGGCACAGAGCATGAGATGGTGAAGTGCCCAGGAATTAGCTACAATGGGAAGTTGTTACTACCCCCAGGTTTCAAGGAGCAAAGGGGAGGGACTCCAGAGAAAGCTTGGAGTCATGGAAGAGGAGCCGCCCAACAGGAGCTGTAACCAGAGAACGCAGCTACTGTCAAACCACAGTGACGTGCAAAGGGGGCCTGGGGGATAACTGCCAGGACCCCTCTCTTCTCCTACCCTCTAATCTCCTGCTTCTGTCTCCTACTGGTTAAGTCCAATCAAGAACCAAAGGACAGGACTTTCCTGGTGGCGCAGTGGTTAAGAATCCACCTGCCAATGCAGGGGACATGGGTTTGAGAAGGTCCGGGAAGGTCTTTCCTGGTCCGGGAAGATCCCACATGCTGTGGAGCAGCTAAGCCCGCACACCGCAACTACTGAGCCTGCGTGCTGCAACTACTGAAGCCTGCATACCTAGAGCCCATACTCTGCAACAAAAGAAGCCACCGCAGTGAGAAGCCCACGCATCGCAAGGAAGATTAGCCCCCGCTCTCCCACTCTCTGCAACTAGAGAAAGCCCGCGTGAAGCAGCGAAGACCCAACGCAGCCAAAAAAAAAAAAAGAGCCAAAGGACAAGGGAGCCGCAAGACACAGTCCATAGAGTTCAGCCTCCCAGGACACAGAGAAGGACCAAGAATAGATCCAGCAGAGACAAGTGGGCACACAGAGAAAGACTAACACATTGCCTTTACGTGGCCCCCCTCCTCAGGATAAGTTCACACACCTCAGCACGCCATAAAAAATTGGCTTGATCAGACCCTTGCCTGTCTCCAGCCCCAGTTCTTACCACTCTTATTCCTCCCTGATCCCAGTCCCCTCTGCCCCCTGTCAAGTTCCGCAAGAGCTCTTAACTGCTGTTTCCAGTGCTTGGAACACCCTTCCCTCTTTCCCGGTCAGCTCATTCTCAGCCTTCAGGTTCAGGTTAAACATCACCTTCTCTCATCACAACCAAGTGCAGTAGGTGATCCTTGATGATAATGATGATGATGACGATGGTGATTTTCTATAAGGGGCGTTATTAGAACAATCTGCAGAATTTGAATAAGATCTGTCTATTGGTTAATACTATATATATATCAATGTTGATTTATTGGTTTTGATAACTATACTATGGTTATGTTAGAGTATTGCTCCCTCTCCCATCTTAAATACACACTGAAGTATTTAGAGAGTAAAGGGTAACTATGGCTGCAACTTATTATCAGGAAAAAAGTTATGGATGCGTCTGTATGTGAATATATATATGTGTATGTATGTGCGTGTATACAGATTTAGACATAGACTTGTAGATATAAATATATAGGATATATATAAAGAGAGAGACAGAATAATTATATAAATGAAACGTGATAAAATGGTAACATTTTGGTGAAGGATACATGGGAATTCTTTGTACTAGTCTTGCAAATTTCCATAAATCTGAAATTATTTCCAAATAGGAAGTTTTAAAAAATTACTTCCTCTGGGAAGCATCCAGGGCCCCTCAAAACTAGGTTAAGTGTTCCTCCCATGAGGATCATAACACCTCACACACACAGTACTTTAACTGCCTGTTTACAAGTTTGTCCCCTTCACTATATGGTTGGCATGAGGTCTGGAAATATACATGTTTGACCAGTTAATCCCTGCACTTGATGGGCTAGGGGAAGGTCACCCAGTATGGTTGCAACAGGATGGCACAACATCCCATTATACCAGAGGGCAAGGGACAGGTTGCAAGATAGCATCTAAAACTAGATTTGACAACATGACCACATAGAGTAGGTGGCATGCTAGCCAGATCTGATCACTTGATTCCACCTGGGGTGTGCTAAAGGCATAGACGCATTCAGTGGAAATCAGAGACAAATCATCTGAGGCCATATGTCACAGACCATTGCAGCAATTGATGGAAGTGCTGCATTAATTTGCCATGTTCACTGCAGTTTTGCCCAGTGGATTGAACTATGGAGGGACAAGAAAATGACTACACCATGTAATGTCTTTGAATATATGATGTATTGCAATATATCACAAAATTAATGTGTTAATATTCTCCTGTACTTCCATATTTTATTGCCATCCTGTAGAATATAAGTTCCTTACAGGGCTGGGACTACTTTTCACTTGCTATTGTATCTCTAATACCTAGCACAGAGTTTTCTCTTTGTGATTTTAATTTTTCATTTGAATTTTTTTAATTAAAATCTCAGTTCACTTACTTATTAGCTGCGAGATTTTAGCAAGGTGTTTAATCTCCGTGTACCTGAGTCTCCTTGCGTGCAAATTCAGAACAGCACTTACCTCATAAGGCTATTATCAGGATAAATTGTGTTTGTTTTTAATAAAACATTTAGATCATGATGCTGTTTCTATCATATAGCAGACATTTTTAATAAATAAATGGATTTGCATCATCTCCACACACACACACAATTAAAAGTTTCCTTTCTGAATAAAACTTCAGAATAGCTTTGACATCCTGGCCTTAGGACTGTGAATTCTAAAATTTTGACCTTATGGACCCTGATGCTATGATCCCAGAGCATCCGATCAGTGTAGAGTCACCGCCAGTACAAAAGGATGACACACTTTCAGCCAAAAGTAAAAACACTGATGTAGGTTGTCTGTGCAGCCTGACTATCCTGAGGCTCTTAGAAATATTTTAAATGACTCGTGTTCTAGATCACCAGGCTCTGCCTTGGGGCTGGCCATGGTCTACTTAGTCCCGGGCCACTTCCACTGCTTGGAGATCAGTGTTTGTTGCTCTAAAATATCCCCAATAGGAATTGATCAAATGTCTTGGATTACTTTACAACAGTGCAGGCCTGGGTGTAGCCAGGGAGGAGTGGGGATTATTGTTGAAACCAGATTAGCCACATGTTCCTAAGAGTTAAAGCTGCGTGATGGTACATAGGGGTTCATTATACTGATCTTTCCACTTTTGCGTATATTTGGAAATTCTCATATTTAAAACTCTTAGTTTTAAAATGAAAAAGTTTACTTTTTATAAAAGAAAAAAGTGCCCAAGTTAAGCTGGGGAAAGGCTAGCCTTTGTGCAGAAGAGATTCTTTGGACTTACTAACCTGGTTTCTAGTGTCTGATAATACTAAATGAAATTTGTTGGACAACTGAATGAACAAATAAATGGATGCCATGCTCTGGCCAACTTCATTCAGATGGCATGGAAATTTACTTATTACTCTCATTCTTGTTTCTTTCTGCTATAGAGAAACCAACAGCTCCTTCTACAAGGCCTGGAGGTAAGACTGTCAATTGAGATTTGAGTTAATTTGGGCTGTTTCACAGGTTTAGAAGCTTTTCATAGGTTTAGAACCACGTGTTCTTTAAACCAGATTATTCAGCAGAAAGACCAGTGGTGTTAACCCTGACCCTGTGGACAGGTATATGCCACACCGGACATGGCCAGTAGTTCATTAATCTCACTAGCGTTGTCTTTCTCTCAAATATCTGAAAAGTAATAGTTGCAAATTCAGTTTGGGATGTTACTTGTCATTACTGACAATATGAAAGGAATAATCCAGTCTAATGATCCAAGAAGCAAGTCAAATTGATAATTTATGGTCCTAGAAGTGAGTCGTTGGCCCTTCCCCCTGGCACTTCAGTACTTTATGGGCCTTGATGTCAGCTGCCTGCTGGTTGTGTCCATACATGATTCTTGGCAGCAAGTCTCACCAGAAAGATAAAGACAAGTAAACCTCTAGGTCAGCAAATTCAATTCTTTTACTTCCCTGGGTTTATAAATGGCACTGGTCACAATGCTGGTGCTTTTTGGCATCCCACCCTGGAGCTGGCAGGACCTCAGAGAATATCTGGATTTTGATGCCTTTCTCAAGGTTCTCAAGTCCATGTGTCTCTCTCCAGGTGAAGGAACAGAGACAGCAATGCCCATACTTCCAGAAGACACAGAGAAAGAAGATGCCACAGAAACACTGAAAGAAAGCAAAGGTATGTACAGAACTCTCCCAGAGAAAAATAGATAATAGGACTCTCCTGATCATGAATTCCCCATGATTATATACCCTACTTTGTTCTTTCCCACAGCAACTTAAAAATGGAACCAGACAGAGCACTTATGACTTTGTAAAAACTGCATTATATGTTAGATTTTGTCAGTGAAATACTCAAATGGAGCTATCCTAAGACAATTGGGGCGATTAGACAAGACAGGAGGTAAAAAAAAATCTGCATGAAGACAGACAAGGCTTGAGAACCTCCCAGAAGTTGTTTGGGGGGAGGGGAACTAGAGAATGGATGTAGAGAAATAAGAGCAGAAAGACCCAGGCCATGATTAATATTTCTTTACGAGACAAATAGAGGAAATGGACATAAAAGATAAAAGAAAATGGAGTGATAAATTGGCGTGCTAATGGACTTTCAACCTCAACTCTCACCTGGAGTTTCAAGAGGGAGATCAAGGCTGGTTACTAGCCTTATCATGGTGATCATTTCATAACGTATGCAAATGTCAAATCAATATAGAATAGGGCTTCCCTGGTGGCACAGTGGTTGAGAGTCCGCCTGCCGATGCAGGGGACGCGGGTTCGTGCCCCGGTCCGGGAAGATCCCACGTGCCGTGGAGCGGCTGGGCCCGTGAGCCATGGCTGCTGAGCCTGCGCGTCCGGAGCCTGTGCTCCACAACGGGAGACATTGGTGAGATTGCTGGGGGCCTCTTCCCCAAGTGCCCTGCATGTTGTGGAGGGCGCAAAGCAGGCCATCACCTGGGTCTTGGCCCAGGAGCCTGCCCGGCAGAGAAAAGCCTTGAGGTGTTGTGCAGTATGCCGGCAGGCTCCTGTCATTTCTCTGCCCCCCCTCACCCACCCACTCCTCTTGGGCAGGCACTCCTTACTGGGCTGGGGTGGCTAGGACCTCACCAGCCCTCCCCAGGGCTGCCCAGCCACACACACCACCCCCCAGGGCAGCCCTCCTGCCCCAAACACTGATGACCTCTTCTCCTGAGAGGCTGAGGGCCCTAGGCCCTGTTAGCCAGACCCTGCCAGTCCCCTGTCTCGAGACCCAGCCTCCCCCAGACCTCACTATCTATGGAAGAACCAACCTGTGCTCTGCATCTCAGCTGCTGCCCCCCCCGCCCCCCCCCGCAATGCTGTAAACACATCACTATGCTCACTCAAAGTGCCTTCAGGGGTTTATATCTCCAGAGAGGGGCACAGAACCTTCTGGTGGTGCTCTCTACCCCCAGAGAACTGACCCACAGCTGGATGTCTGCAAATGATTATTGTGTCCTCAGAGCTTCCTCTAAATATATATATATATATATATAGACTACATCTGAAACTAACATAATATTATATGTCAACTATATTTCAATTAAGACAAAAAAGAGATCTGAGTTTTTGTCATTGGGCAATTTTTTTAAAAACACTTAAATTTTCAGTTTAGTTATTTGCATAATAGAAGTAATAACATTTTTCTCACCTACCTGAGAGCATTTCTGTGTCCATAAAATGAAACAGGATAGTGCAGTACTGCAATTTAGTTGTGACACTAGCCACCCCATGTTAGCACAGACCCTACAGGTTAAGGGCTCAGTCCCCAGCAAGACTGCCCTCACTTCAGATATCAGCCACAAGTTCAGGGGTCCCCAGTCCACCCACACTTCTAATCAACTGGCTACAATTCCAGGGAGTGCCCCATCACGTTCAATAATTCATTAGAACAACTTACAGAACTCAGGAAAACACCATACCTATGACTATGTTTTATTATAAAGGTTACAAATCAGAAGCAGCCAGGTGAAACACATACAGTAAGGTCTGGGAGGGTCTCGAATGGGGACTCTGTGTGTCCTCTCCCTGTGGAACCAGGATGGGTAATCACCTTCCTGGCAAATCAACTGTGTTCACCAGCCAGAAGGCTCCACCGCGCTCTGGTGTGCAGAGATTTTCTTAAGGTCTCATTACGTAGCACAGTTGATTTGATCATTGGCCGTGTAATTGAACTCACCCCCTAGGCCCCACCAGCCCCCATCCTGAGACATCTCTGTCAGTATAAACTCTGATCTGGTCTGAAGGGCTCATGAATAAGGAAGTTACTCCTATTTCTGAGAAATTCCAAAGATTTAGAGCCTCCTGCCCAGGTACCAGGGACAAAGCCCAGTCAAATGCTTTATTATACAACAGATGTAATGTGTGAAAATGCTTTTTAAAAAATCCAAAGTGCTGTGCAGTGGTAGGTGGCATTTTTATTGCTCATTGTTACTACGGTGGTATTTAAAGTAGGTTTTGCTTTGAGGGTTTTTTTGGTGGTTGTCAGGTTTTCACAGAAAAACAAAGCCACAGCCTCTGGATGGTTGAGAATCTTAACCAGTAGGAGTAGGAAAGGGATCAGTCCCCAATCATTGATTCCTCCCAAAGCCCCTCGAGGGAAAATTCTCTGGTTCTAAGACTTAAGTCTTAGGAAAGGTAAGGATGGTAGATCTCTAAGTGCCCTCCACAGTCGCTGCTCATGGGCCCAGCTGGATCCAGTTAGCAGTCAGAAACATCAGTAAGGCTCTACAGTCTGATTCATGTGTTACACGTGACCTTCTCATTCCTGGCAATAACACCGAGACTTCTGGCTTGCTTCTTTTTTCCTCCCTCTCCCCGATCCCACCTTGGAAACTGCTGTTTCTGTCCTTAGAGTCAAAGACATCAGCACCCCCAAGCAGCCTCATCTTTGTTAACAAAGAGGAAGAACGAGAAAAGAGATAATCTCTTTTGTCTGAAAAAAATTTTTAATTAACAAAACTGCCCATCTTATATTTTGCAAGAAACCCAAGAATGTAAACTTCTTTTCTCTCTGTTACTTCAGATAATAGGACAGGTAGAAAAGCCTCATTTATTGAAACTGGAAGACTTTGCTGTCTGGGTAACTATATCTGTTTCCTTCCAGAATGCGCTCCTTGGAATGCTCTGTGTTGATTATGCTTTTTTAAGCCTGTTTTGAAGCACACAGAAACACCACCAGTGCTGATAACGTGTGCTTTTCTTTTCAGAAGCTGCCTTGAATCTTGCCTACATCCTAATCCCCAGCGTCCCCCTTCTCTTCTTTGTGGTCACCACAGGTGTATGTTGGGTTTGGATCTGTAGAAGGAGGCAAGTAAAACCTTCATCATGTAAACCTTTGTGTTTTCTGAACTCTTCAAGATTTGGACTTCATTAAAAGCCACGGCAGCTCCAAGAGAATCACTTCTACAGATTTGAGAGTAAATTTTCTGATGGGCTCAGGGCACTCAGAAGTACTAAGCATTGTGCTTAGCTGTGATTAAGAGAGTGATCTTACATTCTTTAATTTTTGTGTGTGTGGAAGATTTTAAACGACTTGAGGGGTGAGACTGTGTTATTCATCTGTGCATCCACACATCACTCAGCAAAGTGCTCTCATGCATGTATGCACTCACTCCAGGAATGCTTGTTGGGTGAGTGAAGGAATGAATAGTGAGCCCTTTGAAAACGACTGTTCCAAAGCCTGGCAAACCACTGAAACTAAACCACTTAATTCAAAATGAAATAGCCAAATCCTTTTAATTGACTTTTAATTGAATTCACAAGTGTACATTGCTACAAAATAGCTGCACTAAGCCTAAAGCACCTCTGTTAATGGATCATGTGCCACCATTGTTGAGGTAACCAGAGGTCTTCTCAGCTGCCTTTTTATTCCCCATCATCATGGTCTACATAGAAGAAGGAAAGCAAAGGTGCAGTTTAAGACTTGACTCCCTTTGATGACCAATTTAAGATAAACTAGTAAGATTCCAATGAAGATCCTGCTTCATTTAATAATAACTTCCTTATAGGATTATTAGAAGAATTAAAGCAGTTAATATATGCAGAATGAGTATATAGTAAGCACTCAAAAATGTTATCTCTTACTATGATCATTTTCATTAGTTAATTCCTTTTAACCTAAAAATAGAGTTCAGTTCAAAAACTTGAAAATATATTTTCTAACTGCTTACTCTGTGGTTGGGTGTTGATTTCCCTCCCTTACCTATCTATTTAGCACCTCACCACAATGTGGGATTGTGGCTTTGAAGCTGGAGTCTATCTCGGGGTTTTAACCATTTTTGTGCCACAGACCCCTGTAAGAGTGTGGTGAAGCCTATGGATCACTTCCCAGAACAATATTTTTAAATGCATAAAATAAATTACAGTGGATTACAAGGGAAGGAATAATGCTGTTTTACAGTTTAGCAAAATATTTCCAAAAACTAATGTGAAACAATAATACACGCGCTCCTTTATTAATGCTTCTTTATTTAGTGGTGAGTATAAGTATCATAATACTGAAGTAGAGATGAGCATAAAATATTTTAAGACATCTTAAGTCATAACTGTGATGTGATATGAAAATATCTATGATTTCTGTTGGTGAACAAGTCAAGATATTACTAGTGGGAATTCCCTGGCGGTCCAGTGGTTAGGACTCTGTGCTTTCACTGCTGAGGGCCAGGTTCGATCCCTGGTGGGGGAACTAAGATCCCACAAGCCGAGTGGTGCAGCCAAAAAGAAAAAAGCAGAAACAAAAACAAAAACAAAAAAAGCTGTTACGACTCAGTTTAACTGCCCACATTCAAAACTGAAGGACAAGCTCAGTTTCACTTAAAGATGGATTTTTTTTTAATGTGGTATTTTCCCCATGCAGTTCCATCCATGGACCCTCTGGAGGCTCTGGGGATCCCAGAGTCATCACCTCCATTCTGTGCTCTGGCAGCAGTGAGTGATAGATACATAACAACACTTTCCTCTTTTATTCCCACCCCACCTGAAACCTTGACCTGTAGGTTGAGGCAGGTGAGAAGTGCAGTGTAGTGACTGCCCAGAATGACCCCCTCCTGCCTGCACAGGGGCACCGGGATGTTCTCAGTCCCCTTGTCCACTGAGCCCTGGTTCTCTTTACTCCTAGGCAACGGGGGCAGCCAGGCCCCAGCACGAAGGAGCAGCACCCCACCTGGCCCACTCCTCAGCCGGGGAACAGCCCGGACCTGGAGGTTTACAATGTCATACGAAAGCAGAGCGAAGCTGATCTAGCCGCGACCCGGCCGGACCTGAAGAACATCTCATTCCGAGCGCGCTCGCGAGAGGCCACTCCTGACACCATGTCCTGTGACTATGACAATGTGGCCATGAACCCATCCGAAAGCGGATTCGTGACGCTGGTGAGCATGGAGAGTGGCTTCGTGACCAATGACGTTTATGAGTTCTCCCCAGACCGAGTGGGAAGGAGCAAGGAGGCCGAGTGGGTGGAAAATGAAATATATGGTTATTAGGATGCACGAATGAACCCTGAACTGACAACAATGGGAAAGAAGAGAGAAGCAAAAGTCTATTTTCTGTAAGGAAAACACTCAGAAGGTCTGTGAAAGTGCTCAGATCAGGTCCTGGGGGTGAGCATGAGAGCCCCTGTTGGATCCACAGTTTGGGCTATATCCCTTATCCCAGTCCCTCACCTGGCTGGAACTTCTGAGAAAGCACCTTGTCCAGCGTCTGGCACATAATAGAAAATAAACAACTGATTGTTACAACTGACTTTCAAGGGACCATGCTTTCACTGGCGGGGGAGCGGGGTAGGGGGGAGTTGCTGTGGAGCTTGGGAAACCAGCCTCTAGGTTCTGTTTCTCTTGCTCTGTACAGCAGCAAACATCATCACAAAGAGACAGAAAGTACAGAATCTTTTCAAAGCCCGCCTATGCCAGCCTCGAGCTGGGCTGCGCAACAGCAATTCTTATACCTATTTTTTTCAAAGAATCAAATCAAATAAAAAGCAGGAAACAGAATGTTAGTCAGTCTGTGTCTACAGCCCTTCTTCTACATGTGGCCTCTGGGGGCCGTTTTTTCTTTTTCCTGACATCCAAACTTGGAAATATCTAACTTGGAAGCACTTTAGAAACTGAAAATGAAGTTTGAATCTAGGCTTCTCGGCTTATTTGTGTTCCCAGCCCTGTTACTGCACGGTGTTCTGTTTGTGTGTTTGTTTTACTGCAGCATCAACATAGCATTAGTAATAATGCTAATTATTTTACCTTTTTGTTTTCGGAATCTGACTATTTCAAAAACTTTTGGACTCAAATGCAGAGAAAAGTCACCTAACATCAGTCATTTACCAGACAAAGTTCTGAAGGTCATTAAATCACCAACAACATCCCTCTATCAGCTTAATAATCTTATTATTTTAACCATTCCTCATAAGTCTTGTTTTTGAATAGTTTGTAACTTTGCCTGACACATGGAGCCCCAATCTAGACAGAGTAACCTCGTCTGGGTCGGAGCAGTATCATCAAATGTAGTGGATTCTAAGCAATGCCAATTACCTGCCTTACCAAGGCAGGGAGCAGGGGGGATAACAAAAACATCATTTATGCCTGCTCCAGGGAAGTGTGTTCTGTGGCGTTAACAATATTTCAAGCAAAAAGAGTGACCATATAGTCTGAAGGACTGATTCATTGTCCAGAACACTGAAGTTCCCATTTTGCATCAGACTTCCTGGCTCTGTGATCTGTGCCTTTATCCGCCCCTGTTCCCTTACGCTCTGGCCCCTACTAGGCTGCAAGCTCCATGAAAGTAGGGATCCAATCTGCCCTGCCACCCGTGTACCTTCTGCACCCAAGACAGTGCCTTGCGTAGCGAAAACCATCAATACTCGTTGGATGGATTAACAGTTCCTCTTTCAGAGTGATGTAAAATCACCTGCATATTTCAGCTTAAAAGTTTGTAGGACCCGATTTTCACACTCCACCTGGATGGCGGGAGGATATTGAGTTATTTTAGTTTGAAAAGCACTCCTACTGCCTGGGAAGAAGGAAGCATTAGTAACAAGTAAACAGAAGCTAGTTAACAACTTAATTATGTCACTAAAACTTAAAATGAGGACCCATTCTTAAGGCTATAATCAGAGCTAACCCTCTGCATCTTCCTTTTGTCATTAGTATCATCTCTCCGCTGGGACCCACGGATCTCTTATTCTGTGTTTGTACACAGCCAGTCTTACCCTGTATTTACATGATTCAATTTCTTTTTTCCTCCTCAGATTTCTTAGCTTGAATTTAGCCAACTCCATTTCTATCTCTGATAATTACACTTCACCAGTTTAACAAGCAGTTGTTAAATGTGAAGCATTATGTTCAAACTGAACATTGAGCTTACCCGTCCTGGTATCGTTTGAAAATTTAGTTAACCTCATTCATCATTTAAAACCATAGTTTCCAGCTTTTTTTTTTTTCACTGTGACACACAATAGATGAAATGAATGTATCAGATAATTCCTTGGATCTATCCATTTAAAAATAATTTCTTGAATACCTACTATGTGCCTGCCACACACTGTGCCAGATGTGACACAGCCAGATGTCAGGCTAAGGCTTAGACAAGTGGGATTGTAGGTTATGTACATTTCCCAACATGGTATTTATAAAGCTCTTCTTTTTTTCTCCTGTTATACATTCATTCATTCATTCAAAAAGTTTTCACATACGTACTTTGTGTCAGGAAATACGCTAAGGTCTAGGCATATAATGGTAAATAAGACAGACACAGGCTCCATCCATGGAGTTTACATTCTAGTAGGGAATGAAGCCACATCGGAACACAAGTGAGTGAAAGAGAATTTGCTGTAATCAGTTTTTGTTTTTTTTTTAATTGTGTGCAGCTCTTTCTAGTCTCCCTCCCCTTTCCCTTCCCTTCCCTTCTTTCCTGTTCTTTAACCCTTGGGTCCTGAAGCCATTAGGTAAGTCAGAGGAAGGTAGCGTCCATGTCTGGGGACATGGGGGAACTTGGTGGCTTAGATCAGAGTGTCACGGCAGAGCAGGATGAGGAAGATGTCCATGCAGAGCCAAAGTCTGGTTCGGGTGTGGCCCAAGTGAGTGAGGAGGCCATCCACACATGCCGAGGGGCAGCAGCTATGATGGGAGATGGGCTGCACAGTGGCGTTGATGAAACAAGTAAGCATGCTAAGGGTAAGAAGCGCCAGGCTTCACGCCGTCAGAGAAGGGAGTTGCAGATACGAAAAAAGAGAAAATTGGAGTGGGCTCCACTATATTAGATTGAAATTAGAAATATCAGTGTGGGGGCAGTGGAAAGATGGCGGAGGAGTAAGACGCGGAGATCACCTTCCTCCCCACAAATACACCAGAAATACATCTACATGTGGAACAACTCCTACAGAACACCTACTGAACGCTGGCAGAAGACCTCAGACCTCCCAAAAGCCGAGTGGATGAAAGGCTCTTGCTGCTCCAGCCAGGAGTCAGGACTCTGCCTCTGAGGTGGGAGAGCCAACTTCAGAACACTCGTCAAGAAGAGACCTCCCAGCCCCACATAATATCAAACGGCGAAAATCTCCCAGAGATCTCCATCTCAACACCAGCACCCAGCTTCACTCAACGACCAGCAAGCTACAGTGCTGGACAACCTATGCCAACCATATAGCAAAACAGGAACACAACCCCACCCACTAGCAGAGAGGCTGCCTAAAATCATAATAAGTCCACAGACACCCCAAAACACACCACCAGACGTGGACCTGCCCACTAGAGAGACAAGATCTAGCCTCATACACCACAACACAGGCACTAGTCCCCTCCACCAGGAAGCCTACACAACCCACTGAACCAACCTTAGCCACTGGAGACAGACATCAAAAACAACGGGAGCTACGAACTTGCAGCCTGCAAAAAGGTGAACCCAATCACAGTAAGATAAGCAAAATGAGAAGACAGAAAAACACACAGCAGATGAAGGAGCAAGATAAAAACCCACCAGACCTAACAAATGAAGAGGAAATAGGCAGTCTACCTGAAAAAGAGTTCAGAATAATGATAGTAAAGATGATCCAAAATCTTGGAAATAGAATGGACAAAATGCAAGAAGCAGTTAACAAGGACCTAGAAGAAATAAAGATGAAACAGACAATGATGAACAACACAATAAATGAAATGAAAAATACTCTAGATGGGATCAATAGCAGAATAAATGAGGCAGAAGAACGGATAAGTGACCTGGAAGATAAAATAGTGGAAATAACTACTGCAGAGCAGAATAAAGAAAAAAGAATGAAAAGAACTGAGGACAGTCTCAGAGACCTCTGGGACAACATTAAACGCACCAACATTCGAATTATAGGGGTTCCAGAAGAAGAAGAGAAAAAGAAAGGGACTGAGAAAATATTTGAAGAGATTATAGTTGAAAACTTCCCTAATATGGGAAAGGAAATCGTTAATCAAGTCCAGGAAGCACAGAGAGTCCCATACAGGATAAATTCAAGGAGAAATACGCCAAGACACATATTAATCAAACTGTCAAAAACTAAATACAAAGAAAGCATATTAAAAGCAGCAAGGGAAAAACAACAAATAACACACAAGGGAATCCCCATAAGGTTAACAGCTGATCTCTCAGCAGAAACTCTACAAGCCAGAAGGGAGTGGCAGGACATACTGAAAGTGATGAAGGAGAAAAACCTGCAACCAAGATTACTCTACCCAGCAAGGATCTCATTCAGATTTGATGGAGAAATTAAAACCTTTACAGACAAGCAAAAGCTGAGAGAGTTCAGCACCACCAAACCAGCTTTACAACAAATGCTAAAGGAACTGCTCTAGACAAAAACACAAGAGAAGGAAAAGTCCTATAATAACGAACCCAAAACAATTTAGAAAATGGGAATAGGAACATACATATCGATAATTACCTTAAATGTAAATGGACTAAATGCTCCCACCAAAAGACACAGATTGGCTGAATGGATACAAAAACAAGACCCATATATATGCTGTCTACAAGAGACCCACTTCAGACCTAGAGACACATACAGACTGAAAGTAAGGGGATGGAAAAAGATATTCCATGCAAATGGAAACCAAAAGAAAGCTGGAGTAGCAATTCTCATATCAGACAAAATAGACTTTAAAATAAGGACTATCAGAAGAGACAAAGAAGGACACTACATAATGATTAAGGGATCGATCCAAGAAGAAGATATAACAATTGTAAATACTTATGCCCCCAACATAGGAGCACCTCAATACATAAGGCAAATACTAACAACCAT